CCACAAAACATTGCATTGTTACAATAGGATACAATATTACAAAAATACAATATCCAAACAATATATATATATATATATATATATATATATACACACATATATAAATTTAATACATAACAGGTAATAAATATATTCAATCATGACAGGTGCATTCTGTGCTGAGGTATATTGCCATAGATCTCTTAAAAGATTTTAGATTGTATGAAGATTTGACTGTGTCCCTGAGTTTATTCCATAATTGCGGTGCTCTGTAGGAAAATGAGGATTGAACCACCATATTTTTGTATTGCGGTATGCCAAATATCGTGCTAGTACTGGATCGGAGGTTATAGGAAGTGGGAACAGCTGGGGAGAACATTCTACTCAGGTAGGGTGGGAGCTTCCCAGAAATGCTCTCATGCACAAGGCTGGAAAGATGAAGAGTGCGTCGGGATTCCAGCGACAGCCAGTTTAGCTCTTTTAACATGTCACAATGGTGGGTAAAATAATTAAATTCTAGTACAAAGCAACAGAACAAATTATACAACGTATATTTCAATAAATACTTTAAACAATCAAACGTTAAATGGAATTCAGATATTTATAGACATATAAAATGTATCGATAAGGTTCAATGAAAAGCAGATAAGAAATAAAAAGAAAATTAAATTCAACATTCAGAAGGACATCAAAAACTCAGAAACTGTATACGCAATTTTGACTTCTCCCTGAACACGTGTGAAAGTCTAGTGTGGAAACTTTTCTCTTCTTATTGGAACTACCAGCCTAAAAGTATGTTAGGCTTCTTTGAATATGGGATAAACTAGCTATAAGGAAGGCTGCAGTGTTAGCTAGCTTATCTGGGTGGGTAGGATATTGATGTAGACATCATGTAGAGCAGGGTAACAGGTGTTTGCAATATGGTGAATAGCACACTTCCCAACATTGGAATCTATGGAATTAGAGATCAGGGGGACTTCAAGGGGGCATTTGCAGTGACGGGTGTGTAAGTCTCCTGACCCTCAACATTCAGGACCATGCAGAGAGCACTTCTGAAGCTTTCTCTGCATGGTTCTAGTTTCCACTGAACAGTGAGAGCATGGCTAATAATGCACTCGCGTTGTGCTGCCTGTGGACAGCTCCTTGGTGTCCCCACCAGGGCACTCTATTAGGATGAGGAAAAAGACCCTAAAATCAACTTTGTGTATATAATTCTTTAGAAGGTCCACAGTTCATCTATTATCTTGCTTTTTCAAGGAGAAACCATGCCTTTTCAACAAAAACAATCAAATGTTCTTTCTAGAACAAATGACATCTTGTTTCTAATTTTATAGAATCAAATAAAATAGAACTGACAGTTTAATCCAATGGTTTTTTTTCGGTGACATAAAAAAGTTGAAATATTTTTTTTCTAAATACACAAAATTAAATAAGTTGGAGCGTTACCACTTTATTTAAAATCACGCAGGCTTTAGCGGTTTCTGAGATGATTAGAAAATTGTCGATCCTTGATCTTTAAGATGGTCTCTAACAAATCTGACATTTAAGAAACTCCATTTTTCTTTTTAAGACAAATGTGCGAGACAGAAGTATTTTTTTTTTCTTTTCCTCGCTCTGATTAGCACTTGAAGTAAGTGGTAATCCACTGATTGTGGAAGTGCTTGACAGGCAAACAAATTCTTCAATCCACAATGCAGACTGATTAGTACAGCAACACCAATATTCTAAACTTCATTACGCATAAACGACTAAACCCGAGGTCAACAAGTCTTATTGCTGCCGATTGAATTGAACTTAAAGGTTGAACAGCAGATGTACTAATTAAGACTTAAGGTCATTAAAAAAAAAAACCCAGCACTAAGACAGGTCTTTATTGTGAAATATAGCCATGAAAGAGCTGCAATTTCTTTGTGACATTAGAGCAATTTTGACCTTATTGTTTGGCTGTGAATTTAAAACAGCAAAAATTGCCGAGTGGCTGTAACATTGTGTACAACATGCATACCAAGAGAAGACAAAATCAACAAAATCTGCTTTAGCTGAATCTGTGAATAGTCCCTTTGTCAGCAAGGCATTTTTTATGACCCACTTATTCATAGATGCTTGCTACTCCTCCTAGAGACCTGGTATTCCAACCGGCTAGCACTACTCCACAGAGCAGTGACATATTTGTAAGTGGACCATCAATGCTTGGACCTATTTATTTGGAGGCATTTTATCATTAGGGATTCTTGATTCTTCCAGCTTCACATTCTTAACAGACCAGGAAAGTAGTGCCATTAGACTTCTAAACATTTTGGAGCACCTTACAAAACAAATTGTGCCGCCCGATGTAAACTCTCATATATGATTACTATTATTTTATTATTTATAAAGCACCAGCAAATTCCGTAGCACTGTACAATGGGTGGACTAACAGACATATAACTGTAACCAGACAAGTTTGGTGCAGAGGAACAGAGGGGTTGAAGTCCCTGCTCGATGAGCTTACATGCTAGAGGGAGTGGGGTATAGTGACACAAAGGGTAAAAGTAGGGGTCTCAAAGTAGGTTGCTAGAAAATTATTCACTGAGGACTTAGTAGGTTATTTTTGACAGTTGCAGGAGAGGAGTCAGGGTGTGAGGTTGAAAAGCTGTTAACAGTTTAATTAATATGGTTTCCTGAAGAAGTGAGTTTTCAATGATTTTTTGAAGGAATGGAGACTGGGTGAAAGTCTACTGGAGAAGGGAAGGTATTTCCACAGAAAAGGTGCATCCCTGGATAAGTCTTGAAGGTGAGCATCAGAGGTGGGAATGCGGACAGATTATAGACGTAGGTCTTCGGCAGAGCACAGGGACCTAGATGGGACATACTTGTTTATAAGGGAGGATAGGTAGGAGCAGCATTATCTAGAGATTTGTAATCAAGCACCAGAATAAAACAGGCAAACAAACAGCATAGATAAACATGTTACGAAGTGGAAAAGAATTGACCAGACATCTGGGCTTACTATCCAACCACCTTGTATAGGTGCCCTGATAATAATATTCAAAGGGAGTTAAACTTTCAAATAGAACCTCAGCTAAAGGTTTACTTACCTTTTAGCCCTCGCTGTGCCGGTCTCTATCCTGGCGCACCACATCTTTCACTGAGATTATTAGTGTAGATGATCTCAGCCAATCCAATGTTTCCTCATAGGGGAACATTGGGAGGCTAGTGCGCATGTGCAGCAATGTTTTCAATAGCAGGGTTAAAACTACAGGGACTTGGCTCCCACTTCATTGACATGGTGTGGTCTAAGTGCCCATAGAGTTCCTTTAATGCAGCTCCTCTCCTTTAGTGATATGTTGGGAGAGGAGCTAGAGGTAATGAAAAACACTGTTTCTTTCTTTCCCAACGCCTCTCCCAGAATATCACAAACAAGAAACAGACTGAATTAATTGTGGTAGCATGCTATTTATATAAAAAACTTTTCCATTGCGATAACAAAATCCACATGTCTGGACAATATCTCTCTTTCAGTGTGAGATGTAAAGCTTGTCTGGATACAGAGGAAAAGGAATCACTCAAAATACAGAAATATACTGGGAGAATTTATTATTTAATTTAGTATTGTAACATTAATCGTGACCATACTGCCCCTCTTTATGTTAAGATGTATTGATATATTTGTACTAATTTATAAATTTAGTGATATATACATTTCTTTTTATTAATCAATAACAAAGTAGTCACAAAGCAAAGGTTCATCTATACTTTTTTAGTAACGTGTTTTTATGTTAAATATTAATATGGGCATTTACTATTATTTTATTATTTATATAGTGAAAAATTCTGTAGTGATGTACAATGGGTGGACTAACAGACACGTGTCTGTAACCAGACAAGTGGACGCACAGGAACAGAGGGGTTAAGGGCCCTGCTCAATGAGCTTACATGCTAGAGGGAGTGGGATAAAGTGACACAAAGGGTATAAGTAGGGGTAATAAAATTATTTACACAAATTAACACAAATCAACATCCAGGAAAGGTTGAAAAAACCTCCTTCCATTTGTATTAATCACATTGATGGATTTATATATTTTTTAATTTAAACTTATAATTCGATAAGAAACAGGCAATCCTATGCATAACAGACACCTAATATGCACAGAATTAACATTATCCATCTCAGAACGTGCTGATTAATGACGCACCCAGAGGTGGAGTTACATCTCCAGAAGTAAAGTTCTTTATCTCTGTATATGGAACATTTTACACTACAGGCACCATGACCACTTCAAAACACCAAAGTGGCTATGATGCATGGAGTAATCCTACAGTGATTTTGTGTATATGTTTTCCCCATCATATAATTTAAACCTTTGTGTTAATTTACACTAATCACATCACAAAATTATTAAATGCCATTTGTTTTAGGACCTAAAGATATGCCTCCTTTTCCCCCAATTGATAAATATGTTGAGTGCAGGGCCGTCTTTAACGCGGGGCAAACGGGGCAGCTGCCCCGGGCCCAGTTTCTCTTGGGGGGCCCGAGGCACCTGCCCCCCGCGGCCCTCAAGCGATAAGTGGGAGAGGCTGGCATGGCGCAGGAGGGATTACCTCGCCAGTTCTCGCTGCTATCAAGACTGATGCCGGAGTCGTGAAGATGACGCCTATCTTCGGCGCCGCATCCCTACGCCGGGCATGCGCAGGGAGCTGAAGAGGAAGCAGTGAGTGCTCCCCGCTACCGCCTCTGCCCGGGACTGCCACCCCCAGGAGCCCAGCAGCACCACTGGGATCTCTCAGAATCCCCCAGCACTCCAAAAAAGCGTAAGGATGGGCCAGGGATTACATTTAAAAAAAAAAATGTACTTGTGTGTGTATTGTGTGTGTTAGTGTATGTGTTTGTGTGGAAGCAGGTATGTGTGTGTGTTAGTGTGTGTGTTTGTGTGTGTTAGTGTATGTGTTTGTGTGTTAAAGGTATTAAAAGTTTGTTTGTGTGTTTGTGGTTTGTGTGTTAGTGTATGTGTGTGTTAGTGTTTCAGTAAGCGCATGTGTGTGTTAGTGTATGTATGTGTGTGTTTGTGTGTGTTAGTGTATGTGTGTTAGTGTGTGTGTTTGTGTGTGTTAGTGTATGTGTTTGTGTGTTAGTGTATGTGTGTGTTAGTGTATGTATGTGTGTGTTTATGTGTGTTAGTGTGTGTGTTTGTGTATTTGTGTATGTGTGTTAGTGTGTGTGTATGTGTGTTAGTGTAGATGTGTGTTACTGTATGTGTGTTAGTGTATGTGTGTTAGTGTGTGTGTGTTAGTGTGTGTGTTTGTGTGTTAGTGTATGTGTGTGTTAGTGTATGTGTGTGTGTATCAGCATGTCTGTGTGTGTGTGTCAGTATGTCTGTGTGTGTGTGTGTGTCATTATATCTGTCTGTGTGTCAGTATATATGTGTGTGTATATCTGTGTGTGTCAGTATGTGTATGTGTCAGTATGTCTGTCATTGCATCAGTATGTTTGTTAGTGCATGTGTATGCATGTGTCAGTATATCTGTCTGTGTGCCAGTATGTCTGTGTGTGTGTGTGTCAGTATATCAGTCTGTGTGTCTCAGTGTATGTGCCTGTGTGTGTGTGTCAGTATTTCTCAGTGTATGTGGGTGTCAGTATATCTGTCAGTGTGTGGGTGTCAGTATTTCTGTCAGTGTGTGGGTGTCAGTATGTTGATCAGTGTATGTGTCTGTGTGTGTGTGTCAGTATGTCGGTATATGTGTCTGTGTGTCAGTATGTCTGTATATGTGCCTGTGTCAGTATGTCTGTCAGTACGTCTACCAGTGTATGTGTCTGTGTGTGAGTCAATATATGTACCTGTGTCAGTGTGTCTGTCAGTGTATGTGCCTGTTTATCTGTATGTAGTCAGTGTATGTATCTGTGTATCTGCTTGTGCGTCAGAGTGTGTACCTGTGCATCTGAGCCGCAACTTTAAATACAAATACACACCTCCATTCAAACTTCAACACTACATATAAAACACACTCCTGCATTGAAACGTCAACACTACATACAAGCACACTCCTACATTCAAAAACAAACACTACACATAAATGCACACTTGCATTCAAACTCCAGTACCACATACAAACACATTCACACAAACATACTCCATACAAACACATACTTACATTCAAACATACTAACATGGCTCAGTGCTAAATACAACCCTGCAAGCATGGGAAATTGGTAGAGTCCCAGCTGTCAAAGCATTGTTGGAGTTGCACGACAGATGGGGTTCTACCTTTAGTCCAATCTTGCAATTGGGGGTCCCAATAAAATTCATTCTACTTTAGTACCCATGGGCATCCGCAGGGGGGGGGCAAGGGGGGGCACTTGCCCCCCCCTGGATTTTTCAGCTTGTTGATATTTTTCGTGTGAGATTTAAAATGAACTGCAATACCGGCGCCGGCCAGTAGGTGGCGCTGTGTATGGAGAGAGACAGGGATAGGAAGCTGCATCTTATCCCTGCTTCTCTCTGCTGATTGAAACCGCAGGGGAACAACACATGCAGCCAGAGACAGCCTTCAGATCAGGTAAGTGGGGGATGGGGGGGGAGGTTTGAGAGGGGGGCAGCAGCAGATAGATTTGGGGGCAGCAGCCCATAGATTTAGGGGGGGGGGCAGCAGCCTTTAGATTTGGGGGCAGCAGCCC